ATATATATATATATATATATATATATACATATATATTAACACAAATATATATATATATATATATATAGATAGATAGATAGATATTCAACTATACCACTACATGCAATGCTTAGCAAAAGACTAAACAGAAAAACAAAAATGTTGACGCCCTCGCATTTGCTTAAGGCGACTTTAGGTCTTTTGGTCGACGTATATTTAAGCTTTACACTATGTCTTTCTACATACATTTGTGTGTGTGTGTGTCTGCCACAAATCGTAGGCAAATCATAAATCTAATAATTTTTCTTCGCATATCATAAAATATTTCGTTAAGAACACTCCTTGCTTTAATTTCGCCCAGAAATGCTCAGGCGTACTTGAACAACAACGTGTGGCCCTCTTTGTATTTCGAAACGCGAAAAATGCTACACAAGTTTTTCCTTAAAAACACAAATAAAAAATAAAAATGCTGAAAAGAACACGCTGACAAAAAATAAATTGTAGCAAATAAACGTTTGCCATAAAATGCCATAAAATGGCAAACGTTTTGCGGTCTGTTATACAATAAATACCAACGAGAGAGTGTTGATTTGCCTGACAATTACTGCCAAATGAAAAATTGTGGCCAACTCAAAGTCGACAAACACCCATTCATATTTATATCTGCACCAGCTCCTATACCCAAGCACACAAACGCTCGAATGCCTTAATTCTCTAAATGTTCCGTTGCATAGAAATCTTTAATATTTTGTAAATTATAGTTAAGTTGTTTTTTTTTTTCGTTTTCTTTTCCTTTTTCTCGTCTACCAAAATGGGAAAAAAACAAAAAAAAAAATGAGGCAAACCCCGCTAGTTTCAGCCTTTAAGTCAAGTCATACAAACCGTTGCTTTAAGTAGTAATTATTTGAAAATATGAATTCACGAGTATACATGCTCTCTCTCTCTCTCTCTATCTCTCTCTCTCTCTCCTGAATTGCGCCCAATTCCATGGCCATCTCATGACGTTTTAATTTAAATTTAATATTTGTTTTATTAAATTTTTAAACTTTTTTTTTTAAATAAATGATATAAACGTTTGATTTTATTTGAATTCTTTTGCAGGTGGTCCTCTCGGCCTGTTCCTCATATTTCCAGAGCCTATTTCTGGACCACCCCGAAAAGCATCCAATTGTGATATTGAAGGACGTCCGTTTCGCCGAACTGCAAACATTAGTCGAATTCATGTATAAAGGCGAAGTAAACGTGCAATATTGTCAGTTATCGGCTTTACTGAAAACGGCCGAGTCTTTAAAGGTAAATAAAATGCTAATTTTATAAATTTATAAAGCTTAATTAGGCATCGATCTCTTGATTAATCAATTATTATTGTTATTGACGCTTTTATCTCGGATAAAAGAAAGAGAAATTTTGTTATTAATTTTTCTATCATTTTTCTTTTCATTCGTTTCGCTTATAGGTTAAGGGTTTAGCAGAAATGACAAATCAGAATACAGCGCTGCGAGAACCAGAACGCGAACCAGATCGTCTACGACCCCACTCGCAGCCACATAGCAAAAGTAGTACTTGCGAAAGTCCTGTCGATGCTTCATTCGCAGGACCATCAACATCGGGCTTAGCTTTGACTGCCGGTACAACAACAATCGCCTCAGTAACAACCGCCTCTACAACTTCAATAACATCAACAACAAGCGCCACAAGTTCCGCAAATACATCCGCAGCCACGACAGCAGCGGCAACCACAATATCCTCAACGTCAACCAGTTCAAGTACGGTAGGTTCAAAACATCACCATCATCACCATCCATACCATCATCATCCCAGCGAACGGTGCAGTCCATCGCCACCTAAACGTTTGCATTGTAAATCGTCGTCAAGCGATCAAGAATCACCGCTACCACTGGATCTCTATCAGAGACGTATAGAACAACAACAGCAGCAGCAACAACAACATCAGGATGATTTATATGAGAACTCAATTACGAACCAAAATATAGCGAATGAAAAGCAAAGAAGCAGTACACCGTCTCTAAGTGCTAGTGGGACCAGTCAAAAGCACAGCACTGGCCACAATCACGGTGGCAATGACGAGAGCGGTGAAAGCGGTCTAACACAAAAAGATGAACCCGATGATCGTGAATTCATTGGAATTAATTCGCCCGTCAGATCAACCTCGTGCAGCATTCACAGACCAACATCCGATGAACCAATGAGCGGTATCGAAAAAATCGAAGATGTTGAAGACGTTGAGTATGGAGATGAAGAAATGGATTTGGAAGATGATGGCGAAAATAGTTGCGAAGAAGTGGGCTTAAATATGAAAATTGGCAGCGGCAGTTTGGCCGCCGCCTTAGTGTCACCAAATCTAAATATTGCGAGAAGTTTAGAGAGCGGGGGTGCAACAATCGAGGGAGACTCGGCACGCTCGACACCCCTAACAAGCAGCGATGCATTAACCTCAGAGCATATTAGACGTCCAGCATCGCAGGGTTCACGTGAACCGGGAGGCTTAGAGCGTCCTAATAGCAGAAGCGGCGGTTTATGCGGCTTGCCTTCCACATCTGGCAGCAGTATACCTATCGCTCTTAGTCCCGTATCTTCGGCAGCAGCAGCTTTAGGCCTAACTAGTAGTGATACCTTGGCTGGACCTTCCGGTTTAGGACCGGTGCAATCGGTACCATTGGTGAGTAAAAGCAAATAAAATAAATAAATAAATAAATAAAAAAAAAAATGAGTTATTCAAAATTTTAAGGGGAATTTTAGAATTGGGGACACCCACTCAAGCCCACCTCAAGCCCAAAATTTTTACGTTACTTTCCTCGTAAATCCATATAATCAATTTTACATTGAAATTTTGAATGAATGGTCCTAACAAGCCGATATAGACATAAACAATATCAATTAAGCGGATTCGTTTGCTTCATCTTTTCATCCAAATTACTTATATTGAAAGTTATGTGACTAAAGTTGTAATTTCGATTCGCTTGAGAGACATCGCCTAGCACTTACACAAAATGGACTCAGAATTGAACACTTTTTATGAATATGTGAATTTCATAAGCTCTAGACTAGATCACATCATCTCATCCATCGGAGCAAATTCAAAAAAATAGAAATAAATAAATGAATAAAGAAACAAAAAAAAAAAAAAAAAAAATGCTTTATTTTTAGAATCTGTTTACCTTTCTCTTTACTTTCCTGTTACTTCACATATAGTCCCTAAAAAAGGAAATCGATTGCAGTGAGGATGACAACAGCAGTAGTCGCCATCTGCAACCTCGTTCAGCATCTGCTAGCGGTATTTTAGGTGGTGAACTTGATTACCGCACTTCTCATGAATCGGTAAGTGTTTTTTAATCAATTTCCTTATTACGATATATGTTTTTTCCTATCTTTTTCTCTCTCTATACATATATACACAATATTATTATATATTGAATATGTTTGTCTCTTTTTTTTTTTTTTTTAATGCAAATCAAATATTTTTTGCTCTTCGTCGTGTTCTTTGTCTATGAATTTGTTTATTTTTTATTAAATTTTATAAACATTTTTATTAAAATTTTTTAGAGAAATTTATTTTTATCACCTTTGTTTAGTTCTTTTCACTTCCTTTTAGCTCTTTCCCCCCCCCTTTCCACCATTTCTTCTTTTTTTTTGTTTTGTTTCTGCAGTAGTGCAGAAAATTTTAATTCTCCCCCGACTTCCTCTTACGCTTATTCCGAAATCACCCATCAAACGTGCCGCTACGTTTAAAGTACGTTACAAATTGAAAATATTCTGAAAAAAAAAAAAAAAGAAAAAAGCAAAAAAAACAATTATTTTATTTAGCTGAACGAAAAAGGAAAAAAACTAAACACTGCATGGTAGCTGAGCTACACACCCTCTAATACCTGAGTAACCTGATTATTGTTCTCGTTTCGCTTACACAATTCAATATCGGAATTTTTAACTCTTTTCTCCGTTCCGTTTTTCACATAAATAAAATACTTTTTGTTTTATTTACTTTTTATCCAAAACTAATGCCTTCCTATACACCGATTGATGTATGCATAGAATTCTCTTACATTAGGCCAATACTACTACTATACCTATATATTCCTCGTTTTTTGTTTTTTTTTTAGTCTTTGTTTTTTTGTGTTTTTTCGTTATTTTATGTTTTTTGTTTTAGTAAATGTTGCATGTTTCCGTGTCCTCAATTTGTTGTGTTGTTCGAATATTTTATTTTTAATTTTATTTTAATGTTTTGTTTTCATACATTATTAGATATCCTATTTTGATGTATTGTGTGACTTCTCTGCCTCCTAACGTTCTCTGTCTCTCTCTCTCTCTCTCTCTCTCTCTTTCTCTCTCTCTCTCTCTCTTTCTCTCTTTCTCTCGCTTTCACTATCTCTCTATCTCTCTATCAATCTATCCCTCTCTCTTTCTTTTTCCCACCTTTTTCATAAACTCACTACTCGGCTATATGTTGCATATGTTGTATATTGATCTCTCTCTCTCTCTCTCTCTCTCTCTTTCCGTATATTATATATATTCCTGTGTAGAGTGCAACTCTGCTTTCATTTCTTCTCCTTCTTTATGTGTTTCAATGTTTTAAATGTATTCGTTTGATTTTGCATGAATTTCCATCGAATTTTACTCGAAAAGCAAATATTTCGTTATTCCCCCTCTTTCCCAAATATCCAGCATTTATTTTAGGATTTATTAAGTTTTCCTTCTTCTTTTTTTTTCAAATAAAATCCCAAATCTCCCGAATTTATTTGTTATTTATTTAACAAAAATTACATCAAATTTTTATATTATAAATCTGCAAGAGAGCGATGCAAAATATCAATATTAAGCAAAGTTCAGTTTAGAATTTAATAAAAAATTTTATATATCACTTTTAAAATGTTTTTCTAAAAATTTAAAGACAACGGCGTGTTGTGTTTCATTATAAACTATGCGGCACAACTGCTTAAGAAAAAAAAGAAAAAAAATTCTATCAACAGTGTTCGAATATGTTATGAAAACAGAGTAGGGCTGTAAGATTTTAAGTAAAAAAAATGTGACTGCAATTCATTTACTAACAAACTGGAAAAGGAAGCACAGTAACTATTTTTTACATCCGCCACTCACCACTGAGATATATATATATTGGCTGGATATCAATGCATTCGAAATGCAAGAACTCCCTTTAACTAATACGTTTCTTAAAATGCTCTATAGACCTTTATCGGTTCTTTGGATGGCCTTTCTGCGCTTATCAACGGACAAAGAAAGAGTGGCCGCTTTCAATATCAGGCACCCATACGAATAATCATTTAAATGGTTTCGCTGTTAACGCGTATAGTTATAGGAACCTTTACAATTCTACGTCCAATTGTCACAAGAGTATTGCGATGTTCAAGATTTGTTACGAAAAAGCTTAAATTTACGCTTACGATTTGAAATTCTCAAAAAATAAGCCTCAGAAGTTCCATAAAATATATTTAGATATATACATATATCTGATTGAGATAATGATAGAATTTCGATTAATCTCTTCTGCACTTGCTGGCGCAAATGGCCCGATCCTCTATTGAAATCCATTACAGAGCTCATAAATAATATAGTTTCGATTCGAATAAAATTCTGAACTAACTTCACACATCACCATATGTCGGGTTATCGTGCTCTAAAAGTATGCTATGACTTATCAAAAAAAAAAAAAAAAAATCGAACCCGAAAACTAGAAAATGAAAAAAGTTGACATATTCCACAACATTCTGTGCTTTTCCAATCTATAAGTAGACTAACATCAACTAACGATTTCACATTTGTTATGTGTTTGCATAAGATTTTACAAAACGAAGACGATTTCCTAACTGCCTTAATTGTGTCTTTGCCCTATATAAAAGCCCTTGTTGGTCTTTCTTCTACCGATAACGATATTTGGTGAATTTTTTGCATACGCGCTCCATTTTTTTTTCGCTGCTTTTCTCAGCTTCTTTCGCCATTATAAATTCTCTTTGTCCGCCAGATATACGAGGTGGATTCAATATTGATTTTATTCCTGTTTGAATCAATCCTCCTTAGATGTAACAGACTTGTACCAGCGCTTTTCCCAAATCCTTCAAGCATTTCTGATTGTGCATCATCATGATACATCAGTCAGAAAGGCTGACGACTGACGACGGACAACTGGATAAACATGCTTAAATCAACTTAAAAATTGATCCTGAATCGATTGCCATCAGAAAAAGTAGACCTTCTATCTATAGTCGTTTTTCAATCGATTATATTACATGCCTGTCTATTGGGGGCTAACTGTGCAGTGTTAGCCAACGTTGAAAGCTGTCAAATATGCCAAAATACATTAATGAGAATGCTGTCGAGTGTTTTTGCCATAGCGAAGTGATTAGATGTGGATTACTCACAGACATGAATCGCAAAATGTCAAGGTCGCCCAGATCGACGATTTTCTTCGGGTATAACATCTCCGGAACAAAATTTGCAAATATCCTTTGGCAGTTGCGAACATTAACAACCATTCAAGTCCCAAAATGTCACATGTTTTTACGAACAATCGATACGTTAAGCCCTATCTTGAACTCATACCAAACATTTGGGCGAGATTTAGGGATTGAAATGTCAGTTCTGAACATCAAAACGACATTGAAGTTGCGATCAGAGCTGAGAGCGGTAGAGAAATGTTATAACCGACTTTTGTGTTATGTTGCTATATACCGTACACCTTGCGACACGATTAATTTATTGGGAGAAAAGGTCAACAACCTGTTTAGTTATATGTAATTCCCTTTTTGGCGTGGCCTTGAGCGAAGATCCGCCCTTTCATAGATCTTTTCAGTTTTGGAAGCATGAAAAACTTGTGCTGAGCCAAGTCTGGTGAATATACGGGGTATGATTACGGTCAGGTCTTTCGCCCAAAAATTACGAATAAACAATGCGTCGTGAATGGATGCAACGATTCTCTATAATAATTTTCTTTATTGCTTCAACAGTTCCATCGGTTGTTGATGCGTTGTGGCATCTGTGTGGACGGGGATCGTTTACATTTTCTAATTTCTTGTTTTTTTTTTTTTTTCTTTTTTGTGGCTATAGGCGATAGCGTTGATTATGGTCCAAATTTATCACCTACGCATCTTTCCCAAGAAATAGTTATTTCCAGTTCTAGCGTATGCATAGCTTGGGCAAAGAACGTTAGATAGAACGTTAGATATGAGATCACACATCAAGTTTATGCTATTATCGTTAACGTAAAGAAAGAATCGAATTGAACTGAACTGAAAAACTAAAACGATTACAAAGACCTTATACTAAATGTGGACATAATCGACCTTATACTATATGTGTACAAATGTACGTTTCTATGGCTTTTAATTCTAAATTTTAATTATAATTCTACTTTAAGTAGAGTATACGCGTTTAAAAGTTAAATCTATTTTTTTTTATTCATGGCCCGTTTGAAATAAAGCCTCATGGCTGTTTTTCATTCCCACACTAACTTAACATATGCAGATAATATATACATATATAAATTTATTTTTATATTCACTTTACAAAGGACAGATTCTGTTCCTTTTTTTTTTTTTGTTTTTTCTTATATTTGGAGAAATTCTCCCAACACACCTTCAAGTCATATAATTTTCGACAGGCTTTACGTTTAAAATAAAATAAGAAAAACCAAAGAGATCCTTAACAAGTGCATAGAGAAATTTCCAAAAAAAAAAAAAAAATAAAAAATAAAAAATAAAATGAATAAATAAAAAAATAATAATAATGAAATTTTCTCGACGAATCAAGTCGCATAGGCAAGAGCCCTACATGCAATATGTATAAATAAAATAAAATGTTCTCATATACGGAAAAATGGAAATCTATAAAAAAAATAATTGTATATATTTACTATATACGTATATGTAGATATGTAGTATATAAATGGATACATATTAAAAAAGAGTCCAAGTTGATGATAATATTACTTTAGTTATTACCAGTCATACGATGGGCGTAACGTGACTTTCATAAGTAAATGTAAGAAGAAAAAGGAAAATATTTTATATAAAACACGATATTTTTTTTTTTTTTTTTTTGTATTTTTAATAAAAGGAAATAAACTGAAAAATAAAATTTTGTATGAATGTGCAGACATAACAAAAAATAATAGAATAGTTGAAAAAATAAATACAGCCTCATAGGCACACGCATACAGACATGAGCTGATATCGAAATGCAAGCAGGGAAGGAGAAGCACGCGTGTAGGTGGTTGTAGGTATCGCTTGACGAGTTTCAACACACGCGCTTACACATTTGCCCCAACCTCTCGCCTAACGAAAAAACCGACCGACGACATGCATATAAAA